CTTAGCCGAGAGGAGCTTCTACGTCAGCTTACGGCGTATGATGAAAATATTGAGGCGGAAATTGATCGAGATATTGAGCAGGCGCAGGCGGTGATGCGAGGGGGCTAGGTTTGATGCAAAGGAGCCGTAATAAGGTGAGGTTTTGACAGGTTTGGCATGCTTGTAGGCACGTAGGCACTTCTAGAATAGAAATTCTATTCTATACTTATACTTATACTATGTGAGCTTGTACGTGAGCTCGTACGTGAGCTCGTACGTAAGGCTATACAAATCGGCATGGCTATACAGCCTCTCCGTTCTACGGCGCATTCTTTCCAATCCATGCAGCCGTATATACAGCTGTACGTGAGCTCGTACGTAAGCTTGTATATAAGGCTATACATAAGGCTATACAAGTTGGCATAATGTGATTGCTTGTGTTGTACATAGCCGCATTTGGAGAGAGCATTCGGAATTAGTAAGCGAGTTAAGCGAGCGAATCGGAGGCTACGGAACAGTGTTCCGAGCCAATTAGAAGGTGGTGAAGCGCTAAGAGGGGGGGGTGTACGTGTAGCGATTAGGGGGTGTACGTGTAGTGAAAAAGGGGTGTACGAGTAGCGCTCCCCTACCTATATTAATAACAACAACTTTAACCCTAAAACTAAACTAAATATAATAACCTAAAGCCTACTGGAAACGCCTACTAAAGTATCTAAAGCACTCTTTATAAAGCGCGATAACTATAGGCCAGCCTATAGAATAAGCTACTTTAACCCGTAGATATAGATAGACTATACTATATATTCTAGGAATTTATTAGACGCGTAATAATTAACCTTATAGGCGTATCGGCTAAACTCTAATAAACGCTATAGGTATAATTAATAAAGAAGATAGAGAAAATAGAGAAAAAAGTACGCGCGCTGTTAATATAAGGCAAGATATACGCTGCAGCAGCGGCAGGAATAATACTAGCTACTATACTAAATAGATAGATAGAGCAGTAAAATAGAGGAATTAGGCAGTAAAATAGAAAGGCTGCAGGAAATAGAATACTAATAGTATAGACTATAGAGGTCTATAAAATCACTATCTATATTAATAATAATAATAAATAAGCCGCTACTAAAGATAATATAAATACAACTATTGCTAGCAAGCTTTAGGCAGGCGGCCCCCTAGATATAACCTAGATATATAGTATAAAGAAGCTCTAGAGTAGGAATATAATAATATATATAGCTAATAAAGCTATAAAGAAACGCCTATTAAAGAAAAAGGAGTAAGTACAGGTGCTAGCTAAGTTAGCGCGCGTATAACTCCCCGCTGTGCTAATAGAGGTGCACGGAGTGCCTAAGGACACAGCCCTAGACAGCCTAGGGCTAAAAAAGGCTATTATTATAGCTAATATATCTATTAACCCGGGCCTTATTATAGAAAGAATTATATAGAAGAATAAAAAAGGTATTTAAGCAGTATAGGATAATCCTAACTACTGCGCCAGCTTAGCTATTATTAGCGGGCGTATAAAAAAAATAGCAAATACTATAATAGTAAGAGAGCTTATTATAGACAGCCGGCTGCTAATAGTATTAAGGTATAAGGCAAGCTTTATTACTATATAGTGCCTAAGATGCCAGGGCTATAGCTATATAGCTAGGTACTATAAAAAGAATATCTAATACGCGAACTGTATAGGAGAATATAATACTAGAAAATGCGATAATCTAGGCGTTAAGAAGTGCGCCAACTATAAGAGAAACCACCCGGTGTATAGCATAGAATATAACGTCTAGAAGGGGGCCTAACTATAGGCCTTAGTAAAGTAATAGGCTACACCGGCTTAATATAATACTAATAGAAATATAAGCCTGCACGGATACTAAGCGCTGCTGGGAGTATATATAACCTAAATAATACCTTAGTTCTAATCTAAAAAGAGGAAGGTAAAGGGCCCTATACTATATAGCAGTACTAAACTAGAGCTAACCCTAGAGGTGGCTAGAAGGGGCCCTAGCAGGCCGCTAAAAAATATCGGCTAAACTAATAATAACCTAAGATAGCAGAAGCTGTTTAATATAATATAGCAGACTTTCTATTTAGCGTAATCTATCTATTTTACAGAACAACCTACCTATTTAAGCGGTTAATCTATCTATTTTACGGAGCAGCCTACGTAGTAATTATAGCCTACTATCTAGGCCACCTAGTTAATAGTATATAAAGGGGCTAAAGGGCTCTTACAGCTTATATAGCCTAATATTATACAGGTTCTATCCTTCTAGAAGAAGGACGTAGACTGCTAGCTATATAAGGAAACTAGCAGGGCTAGCCCTATTAAAAACACCGCTATAAACCTTAACTAATAACAGAATAACCTACTAACCTTACTATTATATAGTATAATATAAATAAAAGCCGAGAGACTTAAAGAAAGTTCCTTAAAAAGGCGGAAGCAGCTCTGCCCTAACTACTAGTACTAGCTATATAAAAACTATAGAAGAATATATAGTAAAAGCAGGAGTATATAATACTCTATATAAAATCCTACCACCTCTTCTATAGAGGAAGCCTAAACGCAAGAATATATATATACGTTAATAAAGCCCTAGAAATAAACTAATAGTTAGTTATATACTACTTACTAGACCTAACTATTTTATTCCTCCGGAATATAGCGGAGGAGGAAATCTATATTTATAATATCTACAACCTACGCCCTAATAGTATTATAGCAACACTATTTCTACTGCTAAATAATAATAATATAGAATATATTCTTATAGGCAATATAAACCTATACCACTTAATCTAGGGGGTATACAGGTAATAGTAGCAAAGGAATAAGTAGAAGAGCTCCTCTATATTATAATAGAGGCAGGTATAGACCTAGCTACTAGGCAGGCAATAGAAATATAGGTAAAAGGAATATTATAGTTAATAATTAACCTTATATTTACAACTAAATAGCTAACTAACCGTACTATATTATGCGCCATCCAAAATAAGTAGAACTATAACTTAGACTATAACCTAGTATATACAGAATTTAATATAGAGCTACTACTAGCTATAGCACAGCCTTAACGCAGGTAATAGAAAGGCTTTAACTAGAAGAAGGTATATAAACACCTAGTGCCCTAGCTAGATAAGCTAGAAATATAGGAATACTCTTTAGCCGGACCGGAACGCCTAGACAGGTTTACGGCCCTTCTCTATAAGCGCATATAAAATACAATTAAGGCTGTAGTGCTACTTACTAGGCTATTAAAGCAAGTATCCCCGGTATAGTTATAAGACTGTATAGAAAAAGTCTAGGAAATAAAAAAGGCCTATAGAATATAGAGGTTATCTTATTCTATTAAGCACTAAATATTATATAGGGTCTGCTGTAACTATAAAAAGAGGGCAATATAAAAAGAAAGTACTAAGGTATAGCAACGCGTGGTGGAAAAAGTTATAAAGAACCCGAAGGGAGTATAGAAACTAGCAAAATAGGGCCGAACAGTAGGCAAGGAATTATGCCCCCCTTTCTATTTCCCCCCTCTATTATACCTAGAAGACCCTACTCTGTATACTAATAATAAAATAAAAGTATATATTATAGCTAAATAGTTCTTTCTACTACTAGTAAATATAGACTTCTCTAACCTAAAGGAATTCTAGTACCCGGAGCTGTATAAATTACTATTAGCTATTACGCTGTATAATATAGTTTTAGCGCTTATAGGAATTGCCCTGGATAAGGCCCCGGGTATTATAAAGATTATAAATTAATTTATTAAAAAGTGCGAGAAATAGCTTACCTTTATACTTACTAGGTTTTTTACTAAGTGCCTTAAATAAGGCTACCACCCCCGGCTATATAAAAAATCTATTACTATAGTGCTATATAAGCCGCAGAAAGCATTATATATAATAGTAAAGGCCTATAGGCCTATTGCCCTCCTTAAGACTATAGGTAAAATACTAGAAAAAATAGTAGCTATACAACTATTTATACTTGCTAAAGTAAAAGAAATACTCCCTCTAAGCTAAATAGGGGCACGCTCTAAGCAATTAATATAAACAGCAATTAAACTCTTTATAGAACAAATTTATATAGTTTAGGGCAGTAGTAAGAGCCTTATAGTATTACTCCTTAGCTTAGATATATTAGGGGCATTTAACCAGGTATTATATAAAAGGATAATATATAACCTATAAGTATAAAAAGTGCCGGAATAGATTATTTATTTTACTAGATTATTTCTAAAAGACCGCACTATAAGGCTTAGCTTCGGCGGCTTTATAGCAGAACCTAGAGAGGTTACTATAGGAATACTATAGGGCTCCTCCTTTTTACTAATCCTTTTCCTCTTCTTTACTAGTATACTGCTGCCAGCACTATAGTAAGGCAGTACTATAGCCTATAGATTTATAGATAATATAAACATTTTTATATATAGTAAGATAATAGAAATAAACTGCAGGGCCTTTAAAGGGGCATATAAACAGTGCCTAGACTAGGCTAGGAAATATAAAGTAGTATTCGCCCTAGATAAATACCACCTAATCCACTTTATAAAAGCCTATAAATATACCTTTAACCTATTAGCTATAGTTAATATCTAGGGGTTTATAGAGGGCCTAATTAAGGACCTCTAAGTACTAGAAGTCCAGGTAGACTCTAAGCTTAAATAGGGCCCGCACCTTAATACTATAAAAAATAAGGCTATAGCCTAGATAGGGTCTATTATAAGGCTTATAGTATTAATATAGGGCGTAAGCTTTTATAGAGTATAAGTAGTATACTTAGCGGTTATACAGCCCGCTATTATATATAGATGTACCTTCTGGTACCCTATAGTAGGTATAAAGGAACAGCTTAGTAAAATAAAACTTAAACAACTTAAAATAGTATAAAACTACTACCTCTAGCGCATCTTAGGGGCCTATAAATTAACACCTATTAAAGTACTAGAGTATAAAATATTCTACCCCCCTTTTAGGCTAAAGTTAGAAAAACTAGCAGTAGCCTATATAAATAGGATATATAAAGGGCCCGCCTATATATATATTAACCAGATATATAGCAATATAAAAACTACTATTAGGAACAAATATAGTAGCTAAGAAATGCCCTGGCTTAGCCCTAGCAGACGCGATATACTCCGCAGGCAAGCAGTAGTTGCTATTAGAAACGTTACGCGGTTTAAGGGCGAATTAGACAACTTATATAAATATTTAAGATGCTTAGCAATTGCTATAGCATATAAAGATAAGTAGAAGAAAAAATAGAAGGCCTTCTAAAAAAGGCTATAAAGAGGACCCTTTACGCTAGCGCTTAATACTAAGTAGCAGGAGTATAATAAATATATACACAGCAAGCTTACTAAAGTAGAAAGTATAATTATTATAAACCTGTAGATAGAATATATAGGGCTTAATAAGTACTTATATAGAATAAGAGTACTAAACTACCTAACGCCGGTATGCCCCTGCAGAGCAAGCTAATAAATACTATAATATATAGTTATAAACTGCAAACAGTATAAAAAGGGCAGAAATAAACTATTTAGAAAAGCTAAAACCAGAACCTATAAAAAGCTATACAAAAACAGGGGCACTATTAAAGCCCTAGCCTAATAGTTCCTCTAGTAGAAAGAACTCCTACTATACCTTTTAATAGCCAGGGAAATAGTGTAGGAGTAAATTCCCCTACTTAATAATAATCCACCTATTTAGCATAGCCCTACTCTATACTGCCCTGCTGCTAGGGCAAATCCGCCTATTTTACTGCAACACTTCTATTTTAAGCGGCCTTTCCTTGCTATAGTAGTCCGCCTATACACCTATAATATACTAATACAGCCTTAACTCTACCCTTCTATTTTATATTAATCCACCTATTTAGGGCGCCTGGCCCTTAGGCCTACCCCTAAGTATAGAACAGCCCCACCTATAGCACGTATATAACAACCTACTAACTATTTACTTTAACCCCTGGCTTTACAGAAGAGTATACACGCGCACTACCTGTAGGCGTGCTCTTATACTAATTATAAACCAGCTTTTATTTCCGGAATCTAATAGAATTAACCCGAACCTAAGAGGACAACCTAACCCTGGACCCCGGATAGATTTACAACAACGCACCGTAATAGCTTATTCTATGGCCGGCTTAATAGAGCTGCTACGCGTCCCTAATAGTTGTATATTAGTATAAAGAGCGCACAGCGCTATATACCGCAGAAAGCAAGGTTTTTATCCAAACGCTGCCTAGCACGAACGGTTTCCCCTTATATACTTAGCTTAGATAGAACTGCTGTATAGACCTTTACGGGAACTAAATTAGTATAATAGAACTTAATAATAATAATAATAATAATAATAATAATAATAATAATAATAATAATAATAATAATAATAATAATAATACTAATAATAGTAATAGTAATAATAATAAGAGCAGCTATAAGGGCTATAGGTATATAGGGCGGCGCTACTATTCCTTTTTAACTTTATCTATAAGCTTATCTATAAATAAGCAGCTTGTATTTACTAAATATAGCTGCTATTATACTCTAAAACTATTATTTATAGACTTCTCTAATTCTAATAGAATAGTATTAGTATTAAAAGTAGTACTAAATACTACTATAGAAGAATAGTAAATCTAGGGCATTTTCTAATATAAGGTAAATAGGTTATATACTATAGAGATTCCCCTAGGCTGCCTTTACCCTTAATTTTTTTTATATATTAGCTTTATTAAGTAGTTTTAAAAGCTAAAGCCTAAGTTTAAGTTTACTAAAAAGGAAAACGCGTTGCTTATTAAGTTAAAGGGGAACTAGAATCTACTATAGAAATAGATTAAGACTAAATTTCTAAAAAGACCTATTAGATTACTATAGGTACGCTATTTAATAAAATTAAAGGAAAGAACTGCTATATAGAAAACCCGGCGGTAATAGTAGGGCTTTAAAATATCTATATTTAAAATAGTAATACTCTTATCTAGCTTAGAAGTCTATTTTCTAGCTTAGGGTTTACTAAAGACTGCTTTTATACCTTAACTTCTAGAGCTTAAACTAACCTTTTAAATTAGCTCTATATACGCAGCTAGCGTAGTATTAATATAGAGCGATGGAATACTATCGCCTACTATAAATAAAAAGGTTAGAACTTATAATAGGATCTAGCTAGCCCCCTTTTCTTCCCTTAATAAGCGGCTCCAGCCTATACCTTTATTTACCGCCTATTTTAACTGCGTTTAGTGTTACTAGGTCTAGCAAGCTTAAATAGCGGCTGCTTAACTAGCCTTAAGGCGTAGCAATACCTAAAAAGCGCTAATTATTTTATTATCAAATTATAAGATAACTAAGTTAAAGGTTAAGTTTATTATAAAGCGAAAGCGCCGCCTATACAGCTTGTCTATAAGTACCTTAGTACTAAGTTCCGGCCTATATAGTAGTAGAAGCACGCGCCGCTTTCTTCCTAGATAAGCCTGTTAATAATCTAGTAAAATTTACTAATTCTTAGATATTTTACGCTAGCTAGCCCCCTTATACCTAAGATTATTTATTGCTAAGAATATATAGATTAAACCAGCGCTACTTCTACTAAGCCCTTTCTCCTAAAAATATAGGAAGCCGCTAGGGCTAGAGCAACACCTGCTTTTATATACCTAGGCTACTAATAAAGAAAAAAACCTTAAACCTACTAAACCTTTTACTAGAATAGGGTATAACTATTAGTATTATACTAGGGAATAATAATAGTACTATACTAGAAGTAATAGGCTACCTAGATATTATAGAGTATATTATTATAAGTATAGACTTATAGGGCCACCTAAATCTATAGTATAATAAACCTGCTTAAATATAGGCTTCTGCTATATATTAAGTAAAACAACTTAACGTCTATCCCTGTATAGCGAGACGCACCTTGTAATAAGATAAATCGTAGGTACTTTAAATTTAAGCAACTCTAAATCTGCGAATATATTAAAATTTCAATAAACTTTTATTTTAGTTACGTAATACGCCTCTCCCGAATACTCCTAACTTATTAATTCCGAAAGTTTTAATCGCGTTATCGCCGCCTATCTAAATTATAAAGAGCCTTCTTTTATAATATAATAAAACCCCTCGACTTATAATACTATTAAGCTTTTTTCACCTTTTAAATATATAAAACAATTAGATATAGATATCCAGGTTTTATTATAAGGCTAAAAAGCTATTGCTATAATTATAGCGGCCGGGGCGTGCTATATTACAGGACGTCGCTATATAGGCTAATACCTCCTCCAATTAAGTGATTAAGAATTGTGGTCGGTGGAGGTGTGGTTATAATAACCTCGGTAAAATTCTAATAAAATTTGTGGCTGCTCAACGTGTGGCTACGACGTTTGTGGCTGCGTGTACCTTGCCGGAAAATTCCCGTTTCCCGACATCCTCCGATTAGATCAAAAAGTGGTCCTGTACACAGCCAACAAATACTTCTGTCGCAATGAACTTTTGGACCCACTTGCGCGGACACTAGTATGATTATGGCCTAGCTAAGTCATTCAGATCCCGCATCCCCCTGCTTGGCGGGGACACCCAACTGCGAAAATCGGCGCTTAGATTTATTTTTGTTTAGGATTATGAAGATGACATTCCCAGACCAACTCAACCACTACATTATATACGCGTAGGAGGCGTACTTTTGAGTACTTAAGTTAAGCTGGCCCAGCGCGCAGACAGACTCTCAGGGGCTCCTGAAGGCAGTCCGGGAGAGGGGAAGTACCAGAAAGCTCGTCGGCGCCTTAGAAACGAGATGGCGCGGCAGCGGAAGCTGCTCCTGGTTGAGATTGTTGACCGCTTTAGGAAGGAGCAACCGGTGATTGATAGTGAGCGGCAGCTCTTAGAGAAGGTGGTCGACAAGGACACGCGCGGTGCACTGGAGCGATCTGACCAGATAACGCCGGAATAGCTGCTCCTGATTGATATAATCTTGACCCTGCCTAAAACGTCACCAGAAAGGGAGTTGCAACGGAGGATTGCGGCGATCTATGCTGTAACAGTGTGCTGCGGCGTAGAGGAGGGGAGGTCTCACCTCCATGTTCGGCAAATCAGATTTGTATTACCGCGTTTGAGAAGGCATATATAAAAATAAGAGCTTGTTGTTTAATAGACTGACAGTTACATAGCTCTATATGTCCAGCCTATCGGATATTAATCCCACTGCTGGCTAATGCGGTGCGCGACACGGGATTTATTAATGTAACAATACAGTTCTCCCATATACCGATACGCATATGGCTGCAAGGAGATAGAGATAGTAGAGCGGCGTTGGAGCCGATAGTAGGTGGAGGTGCGGCTAGTGGACATTCGGAGGAAATCGCTGAACACTAGACGCAACAGCATAATGAGCAGTCCAATGATTACAGCTATTGTTAACACATCAGTGGTTTTCTAAAGTCCGCACACAATTGCAAGATTATGATTCAAGGTATCTAGCTAAATCAAACCGTACCACAATCTCATTTCTTCTCCGCCGCTACAAACTTCAAATATTGCCCCACAAGCTCTTTCAACGTCTCCTTGAATGATACGAACTTCCACCCAAACTCTTTCTCCGTCTCCCGAGTATCCAACCTCCAGATCCTCGCCCTCAGGCTCCCCCCCAATTTCAATGTCCCGTTCTCCACAGCTTCTGGAAAGAACTTCCTAACATAGTTCTGCGCATCTTCCCAATCAATACCATCCGGCGCATCAGAACTCAAAATATAGTCTTTATTCCCTTGCACACTCGGCTTCAACGCATCGACATGCGCCCTAGCCGCATCATCAACGTGCACTGTAGCCCCCACCATCTGCGGAATATTGACATCCAGGAGCGGACCAAGTGCGAGAGAGTTCCCGGCCGTCACCAACTCAGCGGCATTTGTAGCCAGTTCATCTGGCCCGAATACTACTGTTGGCAGCAAGTTGACGAACCCAAATTCTGGCTTCTCCTCCTCCATGAATTTTCTTGTGGCAATGCGGGATAGGGTCTTGGATGCGAAGTATGCTTCCATTGACGTGCCGTAGGGACCGGCAATGTTGGAGTTGATGTCGGCTGCGGTAGATAGTGTGAGGTCTGGGGACGCAGGCGCGGGACCAAACATCCAGGCGAAGGAGATCAGGGTTACCGCAGAGGAGGTAATGACGACACGCTTGATTGAGGGAGTGCGGTGCGCGGCGTTGAGGATGGAGAGGGTCACTTTTAAGGCTGGGTCGATAATGTCGCGGTCATAGTCGTCCGACTAAGAAGGATTAGCTTTGTGACGATCAGGCACGGAGATGGGTAATACCTCGATGGCAGGAGGGGAGGCGATATGGAGAATTCCCGTGACACCAGCGAGGTGAGGATCGAAGGAGTGGGTGTCTGAGAGATTGTGAATAACAACCCATTGTAGGTTGTCCATGTGGGGTGCGACTCGAGCGTGAGACTGGAGTTTTGTGGCCTGTTCGGCCTTGCGGATGACCGCACGTACTGGGAACCCTGCTTCAAGAGCTAGGATCAGAGTCTTGAATCCGATATAGCCAGAAACGCCCGTAATCTATGAAGGTGTAAGTAATTGTCGTTAGTGAAAACGGCTGTGGAACCTGTGGAGCCTGTGGTTTCTTACGAGAATGAGATCTCCTGCCATTATAATTCGAGATGCTCAGAAGAGACTTGGAAATTTTCTTTGAAAGAAGTTGAGATGAAATGGAAGGAGATGGGAGTGTTGGGATCTCGCATATGATGAAGATGAGGTGTATGATGAAGGGAACAGGAGAAAGGGGAATTGCATGCCATCTTATACACTTGCGAAGGCATTTCAAGGCGACAAGAATCTCCGGACATGAACAAGAACGATGCAATGAAAATTCAATTGCATTAGATGTGGTGGTACTTGGCAACTGTGGCAGCGGAAAATATTGTACAGCCCGGAAAATCGACAAAACGCTAGCACGGATGACCGGAGATAAAGGCATCGACGGGACGAAGACTTGGCCCTCCTTGGTACGTCGGAGCCCCTGGTATTCTGGATGATTCAATCGGGCAACTACCAGATCTCTCGAGGCCAGAAAGCTGAGCGGCGATGGGGGTCGTCTTGAAAGATTTGCGATCTTGTTGTAAGAAGAGAAGGCGGAGTGAGGTTGAGGTGTGGAGTTGTGTTCTGCAGCGCGCTAAACAGCCTAACCCGAAGCGGCAAGAGCCTCCTTGGCTTCCCACAAATATTCCGGATGGCATGAAAGCGCAGCAACTTAGAAGATTGATCTGCTCCGCCCTGGCCTTGCTATCAGCCATTACATCCGAAGGTCACAGCAGACGTCCATGAATACAGAGCCTAGGACCAGTGGAACATCCTCCTGCCGGCATATCGACAATGATACCGGGCCGTTCCTCTGCAAGATCTGCTCCAAAGCGTTCACAAAACGTAGGGTTCGATTCCTTTTGCTCTCAAACACAATCCCATTAGCCATTTGCTCAACTGTCGTGCTAGGAACCTCGAGGAATCGACACGTACTGTACTGTAGGAAGAAGTTGGTGGACAGTCTCCCGGTCTTGAGGAAATCATGTGCAGCTTGTCGGAAAGCCAAAGCAAAATGCGACTCGGAACTCCCAAATTGTAGTCGATGCGATGATAGGGGGCTTACTTGTGTTTATGAATTGACTAGGAAGAGTGCGACCTCAGCCCAGCAACCTGCATTTGCTCCGCCTGATGAACCAAGCTCCGATGGTACATTGCTTGTTGATATCCCGGAACCGGGCAATCAAAACGATATCCCTTGGAATGCCCATGCGGACAACGGCAATGACGCTCAGATCAGCTTAGATATGGATACTCCTAGTCTTTGGCTTGCTCCTGTGCCCGACCTGACGCCTCAGAATGACCTCGCTCTCTGGGAACCGGATGCTGGATTTGTGGAAGACTTGGAAGTTTCTGACATGGGTGCTAATATTTCGTCCAATGGCTATTCAATCAATGGATCCCCGATCAACTGGTTCATCTCTAGTCCAACACCAAGCTTAACCCTCGACGCGACATTCTCAACTCCCGCAGACTGCATGTTCCATACCCCCTACCTAGTCCTTCGACCCATGGACCGTGATCTATCCCCCACCTCGCCCAGAAGTCCATTCATTCACGCATATCTCTCAACGGGCTCACAAATCGGCCGCACCTTCCTTTTGCAGAACTTCAAATCGTACGCCACGGCCCTTGCAACGAAGAACCTGCCGCCCTTCATCCACGGCACGTCGCTTCCACCCCGAGACCCGAGCTCGTGTCAAACTCCGACTTGCGCAACCCCACCTCCCTTACCGACACTAGAGATTTGCAAATCGATCGTCTCACTCTACACCACCAAGACACCTGCAACAAGCTCTTTCGTCTGGCGCACTATAACCATGGAAAAGGACCGCTTTATGAACGAATACGTGAACGGAGATGAGTGGACTGTGCTGTCCATGCTTCAGGCAGTCACGTTGTATATCCTCCTCAGGATCTTTGACGAGGACTCATTCTCCGCTGAATTCGACCGCGAGCTCACTAGAGCGATGACGGTGAGACTTTGATTTCCTCCACTTATCAACGAGCTAACGGTTCTTCCTTCTAGGAAATTGCGATCCACGCTGAACAGTGCAGATTAGTCTGCAGTGCTGAGATCGAAGGCCGCCGTCCGGAATGGAAAGAGTGGGTGTTGGTGGAGTCGAAACGAAGGACCGTGACGGTACTCTTCATACTGCACCTTCTGTTCGACATCAAACCTGAAAAACGGGCCAAATCTAAAGTCGGGCTGTCCGTTCTACCGCTTCCTGCCCACAAACATCTTTGGGAGGCGGCGACGGAAGGTGAATGGATAGAAAAGTATGACGAGATGCTGAGGGCAAGAGATGGGAGGTGTTATTTGAGGTATGCGGATTTAATGGCGCTTGGGAGGGGACATGGAGGGGATAAGATGAATGACCTGAATTCATGGATGGTGAGCGTTGATGCGTTTGGGATGCTAGTTCTAATGGCTGCGAATTCTCTCTAATTGTCTATCTTCACTGAGCATTATCCCACATCTCCCTAAACCAAGCCTTATCCGCTCCTTCCTCCTCCTCCTCCTCGTCCTCCGCTTCCTCACCCCCACCCGCATTCTTCTTCCTCGCCATCTTAGCGAGCAACTCGTCAGGCGTGCCAACCTTGACCACCTTCCCCTTATCCAAGCGATGAGCTATCGTCAAGATAGTGTGCTTAGCGCATTAACAGCCACAGTAGGTGAGGTTCATTGAATCCATCAATATCACAAAGGACTCTACCTGGCATATTTCTTTGCTTTTCTCATTACATTTTGTATGCAACGATGTCAGTTCGGGAAATCCGACATTGACAGGGCTGACGAGGCTGACAAGGCTGACACTGTGCACGTGGAACCGATCTCATTCGTTTAAAATAGCGAACTACGTAGGTATGCCTCTTTTTCCAACGTCACCCTCTCACGGATCTTGAACGACGATGACTTGATACTTTTTAAGTCGATGATTGAATGCACAATTTAAGCTACGAAACTCACATACTCCTCGCTCTTTCAACTACCGTTTGAGTCTCTAGGTGCCCGCTCCTTGCAATGTGGCACAACACGTCAACCGGCTACCTATCTACCGGAGACCGGCACCATATAGGCGGAAACCTGCCAGCTTTTCTCTTCGTCGTCCGCCTGGTTGATGCACACGGAATCGGCCCAGATGAGGCGCTTTCGATCCTCCAGGCGCAATCGGAAAAGCGCCGCCCATAAATTTTGGTCCAGATTAGGCCATCCTTTCCTCTGACACCTTCGTAGTCTAGCACGGACACGGGCATGCCCACGTCTTCTTTGTCATCCTTTTCCATAGCTTCTTCTTCGGTTTGGCACCACATCATCCCAGGGTCTGCAGGATCTCCCCAACAATAAGATAAAGCCTCGTATGTAGGTCTGCTGGGATCGAGTAGAGACACAGACTTGAGGCGAACACGAATGGGTGCATTCAAGTCGTGCGCGGGGAGGAGCTCAAGTAGCCTGATGACCTTGAAACTTGGATGTGGGAGTGGCTTGTCTAAAGATCCCTGCCGCGCATGTCGCAAAGTTTCTCGTTGTAAGGACGGCCATAGATTCTGAGGCCAAGGGGGTCTGGCTAGATAGACGCAGGAGAAGGCCGATTGTCTGCATAATTGTTATGTATGCACGCCATGCACGTGACCAGGCCTGAGAATCGTGGCTAGAAAAATATAGCGAGCCCGGGCGTGAACATAATATATTGTAGCTAGGCTAATGCGTATTACTAAGCACTGAAACATGAGGCCCCCTCTATTCGCACCGGCGTAACTCCCGGACTGCATTCTTTTCCTCTTTGAGTGTCTTTAAAATTTGGAACCATATTATTTCGTGATAGGACCTTTCCTTAGGTGCTCCGAATTTTGAAATGACTTTAATAGTCGCGATTAAACGGGGGGAACAGCGGAAGCGGCGATTGATGCCGTGATTAAAATAATCGACAGCATAATCAACCGCACTCTTTTTCTTGTTGCCAAGTGGTCTCCTTAGGGAGAAATAGCTAAAGAAAGTAATATATTGTTAACAACTTTATAGACTTACTAAGAAAAAATTTATAATTCCAAAACTATAGATTCGTCTCGTTACAGGGTGCGTCTCGCTACGTAAGGACAGACGTTACATTTACTGTATAAGAGATCAGTCTGTAGCCTTAACCAAACGGTATAACTGGATTTGGGACAGTAATGTACACAGTATTGCCACGGGACACTTGCTAGGAATAGTGGAATGCAGCCACAGACATTACAGCCACAGATGCTGACCTCTATAACAAAGGTAACTTATTGTGTTAGATATAATATATTCGCTTATTGTCTTCGTTATAACTGGGGACCCTTACTGGATCTGATTGGAGGTACCGACCAGGGTGGCAATATCTTATAATCTCGCATCCTACGACAACCATGCGGCTGATGAAAGCTACTTAGCATTATAGTAACGTTTCTCGATACTAGATCAAGCTAATAAATAGATTTAAAAAGTAAATAAGCTTGGTTGTGGTGCTATAGTATACAGAGTCTGTTTACGATATAAAATAAGCTTCTCTGTAACCAGGTGCGAAGGCGACAATAGAAGCGTAATTTTAGATGCACTTATATAAGAAGTGTTCTTAAGTAGGCATAAAAAATTATTGTAGGATATAGGATAGGCTATCTATACGCTTGAACTTTTAGAGTCTTCTAATTCTAAAGTACCCGGAATTTGTCTCGCTATAGTATGTCTCGCATCGTAGTCACCGACGTTAAACACCTATATTTAACTTAATAACCTTTTTAATTCTACTAGCTTCTATAAAACTAGGGCGAGATAAGTTAGTATTTTTTATATAACCGCTTAGCAGATCTAGTAGTAGGTTTAGAAGCGTAACTAGTAGGCTTTTCTAACCCTAAATACCTAAAACTATCTCCTAAGCAGTTAAAAAATTCTAAATATTATATAATAGACTTATTAGTACTAGTAATCTATTATCTATACTATACTATACTCCCTATTACTTATTTTATAGTATTCTCTATTCCTACTATACTTTACCTAATACCTAATATAATAGTTATTATAGTTTAGGCTCTAGTTTCTATAGCTTAGAGTAATAATTATTAAGGTTATACTATAGTATATACTAAAGACTATAATAGCAACAGCACCTAAATACTCTATTAAGGCGCTATATATAAGGTACTAGTATTCCTGCTCTAAAAAGGAACCTTATAATCTAGGTAAGTAAAACTCTAGCAGCTAAACGCCCGCAAATCTATCTGCCGGCGGCTTAGCTAGATATATACTTACTAGCCGCGTACCTATAAATATAAAATAGATAATAAATAGAAGGTTTATAAAATTATAAGGGAAAGAAGAACTAAGTTAGGCTGTAAATATAGGGTAGTTTATGCGCGAAAGGAACAGTGGTAATAGTAAATTCCTAAGAATATATTTACTTTAGAGAGCAGCAGTTTCTTTATTTCTTTATTTCTTTCTTTCTTTTACCTAAATATAAGGAGGAATAATAGTAGCAATAGACTATTTTTATTTATATCTATAGTAGTAGTATCTTTAGTAGATATAGGGGTATTTTTAGTCTTTTTTTAAGGGTTTATATTCTTTTCTACTACCTTTATAGAACTTTGTTTATAGAGATAAAGTAATAGAGAATATAGTAAATCTAGTATAATTCTATATCCCTGCAGCTAAAATTAATAGTAGTTTATTAGCTTTTTTATTAAATAAAAGTTTAAATGCTGCTATTTTTACTGTAAATAAAAGAAGCAAAACTAGGAATTAAAATTCTAAGGGGCTACCGCCTTTAAATATAGAAATCTTGCACTTTATACTAGCTAGAAATGCGTTTAAATTGTTTAAGTATATCCTAATATGAGGTATTAGAGACCTATTCCCTATAATATTCCTTTTAGCTTAACGCTTAAAGTATATAGGCTCTAAGTTAGCAAGTAGAAGCATTAGTTAATAAAATTAAGACGCTATAGAGAAATAATATTTAATAATTCTATATAAGAACTAGAGCTAAAGGCCGGATCTCTAGCTGCTCTAATTATATTAACTAGCCTATAATTTATTCTAGTAGATTTCTTTATAATACTTTTTTCTATTTTAAAGGAATAGCTTTTACTTTAGAAATATATAATTATTATATTTAAACTAAGTATTATATTGTTTTTCTAGGTTCTTTTAGCAGTTATTAAGGTTACAGGCACGGACGTTACGTAATCCCGGGCTAAAGGTTTTTCCGGCGCTTTATATACTCTACTATATAAATAGCTTATAGCTGGAGCCTTTCCCCTCTCTATATAACCTTATTAATAGCAATATAACCCTTTTCTTAGCTATACTTCTAATACTAGGTTATATTGTTTAAGGAAACCTAGAAACCTAGAAACCTTAATTTCTTTTTAATTACACAGCTGCACTACTATACGCGCGTACCTATACCAGTTACTAGCTTTAAAATTGGGCGTTACTAACTACACACCCCCTTTTTGCTACACGCACACCCCCCCTCCCCCGGTAACTTCACCACGATCTAATTAGCCCGGAGAGGTGCTCCGGGGCCTCCGATTCGCTCGCTTAAATTGCTTACTAATTCCAAATGCTCTCTCTAAATGCGGCGTGGCCATAAATAATTACATTCTTATCTTTATCCTCTACAATACACTCCCTCCACCTTTTACTATGGCCCTCCAGCCGCTACGGCTAGACTACTACGCTACGGCAGAGGAAGCGCATACTGCTATATAAGCGCACGCCTTAGCGCAGGGCTACTGCCTAGCAAAATACTGTAGTAAACCAGACAGAGTGGATATACAAGCATGCCCCCTAGACACATGCCGACACCTCCGACGCCAGGACCGCCTATTTCTATAGCCCCCCGTCCAGCTCCTATCGCTCAGAGTGCTCCTTAGTCGACGGCTACACCAGCTAGCACGGATTTTACGTTTCTCTCATCGATCCAGCCTTTTTCAGCATGTAGTAGTGCCTAGGCCCGCACCTATGCCCGCACCTACCGCCGCACCTAACGCCGCACCTAACGCCGCACCTACAGGCAAGAAGTATAGCCGGCCGGCGGGCTTAAAGGATAAGGTACCGCGGAAGAAAGCTGCACCGCGGCTAAAGGCAGCACCACGGGCGGCAGTATAGCGGCAGGATAGCGCCCAGACTTAGGTGGAGGAAGGGCCTAGCTGTAAGGACCTACTACGCTAGCTTACGGCCTATAGGGCCCGAGAGACTAATAAGCTTACAGAGTATATAAATCAAGCGGCGATAGAGGCGGGGGCGATGGAGAAGGGCTAGGAATAATACAAAGGGGCTGTAATAAGGTGAGGTTTTAATAGTTTAGGTATAATCCTAGGCGTATAGGCACGTAGGTAGCAATACAACAGCCTATATATACTGCAGGAAACGGAAAGTATGCATAATAAAACGGGTAGGCTGCGCAGCCTTACTGTATATATAGCTATATATATAGCCTTATATATAGCCTTACTTATAGCCTTATATACGGCTTTATATACGGCCGTATATATAGCTGCAGTAAATAGGAAGAATGCATGGTAAAATAGGTATATTGCACAGCCTTGCTTTACGTACAGCTACGCCTACAGCTCGCCGGCGCGCTGGCGCACGTGATAACAGTGAATGAGCGGAGCTTCCTCCGGCCTCTCCGGGCCAATTATATCGTGGTGAAGTAACCGGGGGAGGAAGGGGTGTACGTGTAGCGAAAAGGGGGTGTGCGTGGAGTGAAAAGGGGGTGTGTAGTTAGTAACGCCCTTATTCTTTTAATAGTTTATAATAGTAAGTTTAGTGTTAATTTTTAGCGCTGTAGAGCCGCTAATATTATATATTGCTAGGTTAAGTATATATTTATAAACTATAAAAAAGGCCTGCTTCTATAGCTACAGGCTTTATATAGACTAAGCTAGTATTCGGTAATAAGTTTAGGGCCTGGCTGGATATACCTATATATATTAATAAATATAATTTGTATATATTATTATTATTATTATTATTAGGTTCTATTAGGCCGATTTAGCTCCCGTTAGGGTTTATGCGGCAGTGCTATCTAGGTTTTATTTATAAGGGGAAACCGTTCGCTCTATAGCAGTCGGGTGAAAACCTTGTTTTCTACAGTGTATAATATCGCACTTAGGTGTGCACGGGATAAAGCAGGATTGGAAATAATATTAAGCAGCAGAGTATAATTAATTGTGTATATATAGTGTCTTTTATTAGTTAAGTTACCCCGCCCGACGTTCTATATAGCTTTAATAGCAAGCTTATTAATACAGTTCTTGCCTTAGGCCTCCACGGCTAATACCTTAGTCTGCAACACACCCCTCTAAATTTCACTCTATTTTAGATAAGGTCTAAATATCTTATAGACTATCCTTTTCTAATATATATCCTAGATTAATCCGCGATAAAATATTAACTAGGCCTAGTTAGCGTATAAAGTATACGT